GAAGTGTAATACAGTGATCAAAAAAATAGTAAAAGGGTTTAGATATAGAAAATATTGTTGTAGGCCTATTTGATTGAATGATCTAGGGTTTAGAGAAATAGAGGGGAGCCGGCCACAATAAGAGAGAGGAGAAATTGATTTAGTTGTGATGTGTGTTTGATTCACCCCATTGTGCCTTTATTTATAGTAGTAGGATAGGTAAAAACCTTTCCCTTTAGAATTACAACATTTAATAGGTAATCTAGTCCTAATAGAAATATAAGATAATTTCCCATATCTCCTAGGATTTACACAATCACATTCTTATTCTAAATATGACTGTAACACTCCCCTTTGAGTGTGTACATACTCAACAAACCATCGCATCAGATCTTCAGCATATAAGGCAGAATAGTTGATGAAGTCATCGGCATAATGGGTGATCGCGAGTCTCAAATTTAAGTGAAGTATGCATTTGTAGTAAAACTCACAAAACCTTGCTATGGTAAAACCCAAGGCATTAGGAAAACCCATAGACTAAGGAGAAGAGTGAGAAGTATGCATAATGTTTTTAAACAAACATCAAACTGGATGAAGGTAGAGAACTCAACGGAGTATGATTATCCCAGGATGGGTGCCTTATTAAAACCTTGTTAGATAGCAAAAACCCAGTGGAAAAAATGCTCATAATCATAGGAAAAAGAGTACATTAAAATCATGTGAGTGTGCTTCTAGATACTCCCCCTGAGTTAGATATAACTTCTAAATAAGAGAACTACAAGCGATTCAACTCAGATAATTTACGCATACCGATTCCTTGGACAAGATTTTGAAAGTAAACTTGGGCAACGACTTGGTAAAGAGATCAGCCAGGTTGTCCTGGGAACGGATTTGCTTGACTTCAATGTTCTGATGTTGCTGCTGTTGGTGTGAGTAAAAGAACTTTGACGCTATGTGCTTGGTGTTGTCTCCCTTAATGTATCCCTTCTTCAACTGCTCGATACATGCTGCATTGTCTTCAAAGATCGTTGAAGGAAGGTTAACGACTGATGTAAGACCACTAGTGCTTTAAATATGTCCCATAACTTCTCTCAGCCAAAAACACTCACGCGATGCTTCATGTAGGGTGAGAATCTCAGCATGGTTAAACGAAGTTACAACTAGCGTTTGCTTAGTAGACTTCCAAGATATAGCGGTGTCTCCAACGGTAAAGACATAACATGTTTGAGAACGTGCTCTATGAGGGTCAGACAGATATCCAACATCTGCATAACCAACAAGGTGAGAATCAATTCGAGTACCATAGGGCGCGGCAACATTTGGAGATTCGTGGGTATAGAACAAGCCCAAATCCGTTGTGCCTTTGAGGTAGTGGAAAATGTCTTTAACACCATTCCAGTGCCTGCGTGTGGGGACATTGCTGTATCTAGCTAATAAATTCACAGCGAATGAGATGTCAGGTCTAATGCACTGAGCCAAGTACAATAAAGCCCCAATTGCATTTAGGTAAGGAACTTCGGATTCCAAAATCTCTTCCTCATCCTTCTTTGGACGGAAGAGATCTCGTTGAGCATCTAGAGTTCGAACGATCATGGGTGTACTCAAAGGCTTCTCTTTATCCTCATTACAACGACGTAACACCTTTTGGGTGTAGTTCGATTGATGTACTAGGATTCCATCCGAACAATACTCGATCTCCAGGCCGAGCCAATATCGAGTTTTCCTAAGATCCTTCATCTCAAATTCCGATTTCAAGTGTGTAGCAATTTCCTCAAGCTATATGGGAGTCCTAATGAGATTCATATCATTGACATAAACTGCAACGATTGCAAATCTGGAATGTGACTTCTTTATGAACATGCATGGGCATAGTTCATTGTTCACATAACCTTGACTTGTCAAATATTCACTTAAATGGTTATACATCCGCCCAGATTGTTTCAATCCGTAGAGTGACCTCCTCAACCTAATTGAGAGAGTGTTTTGTGGTCTAGAACTATTTGAGCCAATCAATGGAAGTCCTTCTGGAACTTTCATGTATATTTTCGTATCTAGATTCCCATAGAGATACGCGGTTACCACATCCATAAGTTGCATATTCAGTTTTTTGAAAACTACCAAACTGATTAGGTAGCGGAATGTTATAACGTCCATTACGGGGGAATACGTCTCCTCGTAATCAATCCCAAGGTGCTGAGAGAAGCCTTGAGCTACAAGGCATGCTTTATATCGCACTATTTCATTCTTCTCATTACACTTCCTCACGAAAACCCACTTGTAGCCAACAGGCTTCACATGTGGTGGTGTAGGAACGATAGGTCCAAATACCTTACGTTTCGCGAGCGAATCGAGTTTGACCTGGATTGCTTGTTTCGAGTTTGACCTATCGGTTCTACGTCGGCATTAATCGACGGAACGTGGTTTAATGTCATTGCTAAGCATGATGTTAGTAGCTATTAAGTACGAGAATGCATCATTGACGATTATCTCATTCCTATTCCAAACCTCATCCAAAACTGTGTAATGGACCGAAATCTCACGATTCTCTGGAGGCCGACATGTTTTATCTGAAGCATCACCGTAATCGGATTCAAACTAGGGTTACTAGTTGGTGCCATTTTCCTCCTCCAGGGTTGTGAATCCTTTGAACCAAGGGGTTTGCCACACTTCTTGGTCAGAGCAGGTGATTGGTTAACCGCTAATGTACCTTGCCGCGTGGAGAATGCGGCCTCCCCACTTTCGGTGACAGTCTGGCCTTCCCAGACGGGTTGTTGACATACACGTACATTTATCCTTGCAAGTGTGTTTGCAGTGGGTATATGTGATCTTGTCACCTTTGCTAGATCATTAAAAGCATCTGGCATGCTTTGAGCAATGCTCTGAAGATCTATAATTCGTCGCACCTTAGTTTTAGACTGGGCAGTGTAAGGATCTAAATGAGACATAGTGGGAGCATACCACGACAATTTGCGGCGTTTTACAGGAACGTTAACGTGGTTATCTTACCCTAAAGACGGGAAGACTGTCTCATCAAAATGACAATCCGCAAAACGTGCAGTAAAGAGATATCCTGTCAAGAGTTCTAAGTATCAAACAATTGATGGCGAATCATAACTGACATAGATTCCCATTTTTCTCTGAGGACCTATTTTGGTACATAGCGGCGGCGTTATTGGCACATAAATGACGCACCTAAACACCCGTAAATGCAAGACGTCAGGCTTGTATCCAGTGACCAACTATAATGGTGAATGTGGTTGGGTAGTACTGGGCCTCGGGTGGACCAACATAGCTGCGTGCAATATTGCATAGGCCCAGGCAAATACCGGCAGTTTGGTTCTCATAACCAAAGTTCGAGTTATCAATTGAAGGCGCTTTATGAAAGCTTCTGCCAGGCCGTTTTGGGTGTGAACATAGGGCACAGGATGTTCCACATCAATCCCTAGTGACATGCAATAATCATCAAAAGTCTGTGACGTAAACTCTCTAGCATTATCCTGTCAAATCGACTTGATCGGATAATCAGGGTGGTGAGCCCTTAGCTTAATGATTTGAGTTAGGAGTTTAGTGAACGGGGCGTTTTGTGTGGACAACAAGCAAACATGTGACCATCATGTTGATGCATCAACCAACACCATAAAGTATCTAAATGGTCCGCAGGTTGGTTGGATAGGTCCACAAATGTCCCCTTGAATCCTCTGAATAAATTTAGGGGGGTCGTGAATAATCTTTGTATATGAGGGTTGAGTATTCAACTTCCTTAAAGAATACACTTTGCATGGCGGGAGTCCAACATAAGGATGTAACTTATGTCCGTGTGAAGATTTGAGGATACAGCGCATCATGTCACGTCTAGGATGTCCCAAACGGTCATGCCAAAGCAACAAAGTGTCCTGGAACTCAAGCATAGGGCCGGCCACACTGTGGGCTTCTATGCCGCAAATGGTTGTGATGTACAACTCACTTGGCAAGCGTTCCAACTTCTCGTGAATATGCTTTTGGTCATATCCATACGAAGTGATACAAAGAAATTTAGAACTATGATCTTCAGTGGTTTCAAGATGATATTGATTATCTTGAATATCTCTAAAACACAGCAACGTTCTTTCAGAACGTGGAGAATAGAGTGCTTCCTTAATGGTCAGAATTGTACCATTGTACAACATGATACGTGCCTTTCTGTATCCTTCAATCAGGTTGGATGAGGCTAAGAGAGTTGTCAAATGAGCTTTGTTGGGTATGAAGTTAGTAAAATAGTGTTTTTCATGCAAGATGGTGTGCGTGGTTGCACTATCTGCCAGACAACTAACTTCCCCACTAGACATACCTAGAAATAAATTGATTGAATTGGTCATATGCATAGATATAAGTCCATTCATTCAATTAAGCAATTCGAGAGAATAATATCCATTCAAATAACAATCCATAATTCAAAACAAACCAAAACCAAACAAATTATTCCAAATACTTAGGAAAATTGTTCAAAATTAAACCATAAACCTAGCAAAATAGGGGGTAGGGCTAGCCACTCCTAGTGGGTTCAACCACTAGGTGTAAACACCCTAAAAACATGTCTAATTTATTCATCCATAGGCACTGACGCCTCCTGAAAATCCGATATCTCCATTGATGTAGTTCCATCTTCCGGATGATCCACATATGCAAAGTTAGACTCACGACAGAAATGATACTTGGCAATAGCCTCAGGGGAAGCTCGGCATACGCATGACCAATGATCCATTGATCCATAACGATAGCACATGTCCAGTTCAGTATAAGCGGGTTGAATGGGAGCTTTGCTCTTGTTCTTAAAGTTTGGGGCCTTAGGGGCGAGTGGTGGACGCTGTTGGGTCACATTTTTTCCCTTAGGTACGGTACTCTGTTGGCCCAACTTGTCGCCTATTGCCACGACCACAACGATTCTTTCGTCGTTGATGGCTGCTAAAATAGGTCATATGCGCTTTAAGCGCGGCGTTCGAGCCAGTAGGTCGAGCTTGATGATTCTTCATCAGAAGCTAGTTCTACTTTTCAGCGAGAAGTAAAACAGAGATCAAATCCGAAAACTTGGCAAATTTCTGTGCCCTATATTGTTGCTGCAGGACAATATTGGTGGCATGAAAGGTTAAATAGGTCTTCTCCAAGAGATCTGATTCGGTTAGTTCCACTTTGTAGAATTTCAACAAAGAGCGAATTCTACAAACTTCAGAGTTGTATTCATTCACGGACTTAAAGTCCTGGAAGTAAAGATGCTGCCAGTCGTGTCTTGCTTTAAGCAAGTATATGTCTTTTTGGTGATCGAAATGGTCAGCCAGAGCAAGCCAGAAGGTGTGTGGGTCCTCCTCAGTAAGATACTTAGTCTGCAATGCATCATGTATGTGTCTTCGAATGAAGATCATTGCAGTAGCCTTTTGAGCTTCGTCAACAGGTTTGTTGGCGATAGGTGCCTCGATGGTGGCTCTAATGCCCTTTGCAATTAAATGGAGCTTCACATCTTGAAACCCTTTTAGATAGTTTCCTCCAAAGACTTCTAGAGCGGAGAAATTGAGCTTGTTCAAGTTCGACATTTCCCTAAAACAGAGGGAAAAACGTGAGTAGTCATATGGTAAGCCATAGACATATATCGTAGAACATATAGGTTCTATAGACACGTATTGGTTTAATTTATGCATGAAAACTACAGGTTTCATGTGGTATATTTTGAATGAAAACTTCGAGTTTCAAAGGCACTAAATTTGAAACTACAGGTTCAATTTAGTTTTATCAACAATTAGTTCATAATGAGAGGTTTCTGCAAGAAACACAGAATGCAATATACTAATTTGAATATAATGGATTTGAGGTTCTTCGGGAACTCAAGTGTGAGAGCTTTGTTATTACGAAAATATGTGACGGTTCAAAGTATAGAAATAAATTATTGAATCGTTAATGTCCAAAAGTGATCTTCAGGTCAATAATTTTGGATTCATTATCAAAATAATAGACTGTAAGTCACTTTTAATTAATTCAATAAATCGGGCCATACGGGGTCGATTGTAGAAGCTAGATAATATTAAAATAATATTATTGGATCGAAAATATAGCCCCAAAATAATTTGGGCTTGGTGCCGTGGATAAGAGGCATGGGTTGGGTGAGTATAAGGCAAGGCCCAAAAAAAGGACCTCGGGTTATGGCTGCAGGCCACTGGGTGGAAAAAATCCCCCAACCGTAGCTGCATTTTCGTTTGGGCCGAAGGAGGGTGCACGGGACAAGGCCCAGCAGGAGCTGGCTTTGTGGGTGATGCACGGGAGGACAAAAACCCATCCCTATAGGCTGGCAAGCGGGTTCGAGTGAAGGCCCAGCCTCAAAAAGGCTGGTGTCATAGCTGCAAGCCAATGCAGCAGGATGGGCATGGGACTTCAGGTCCTGCCGAGGTGAGTGCCAGGCCGAGGCCTGGTGGCTACTTCCACAATGATGGTGCGGTGGTATGCCGCACCATGTCCAATCCCCTTTTTTTTTTTTTTTTTTTTTTTTTCAAAAATCCCTTAGGGTTTAGGAAAAACCCGAAATATGCTTCTAATTTATTTTGTATAGTTTGACTCACAAATTCCACATAACAATTTAATTGTGCGATGCATGAAATAAATATATAAACATATACAATATATATATATATATAAAGGAAAATATAAACATAAAGGGGTTCATGCATTATGTGGAATGTTTTCATGCTTCGTGGACGTTTCAAATATCTTCTTTTATTTTAAGTGTACTTAATTAGCAGAAAACGAATAAGCCTTTGATTTTGGTGGATGATAGCCTCCTCCTACGATGTGTCAATTCCTTAGCTTCTGGCAAAAGTATGCTGATAACATGTTGTAGGCCTATTTGATTGAACGATCTAGGGTTTAGAGAGAGAAAGGGGAGCCAGCCACAATAAGAGATAAGAGAGATTGATTTAATTGTCAGGTGTGTTTGATTCACCCCATTGTGCCTTTATTTATAGTAGTAGGATAGGTAAAAACCTTTCCCTTTAGGATTTCAACATCTAATAGGTAATCTAGTCCTAATAGAAATATAAGATATTTTCCCATATCTCCTAGGATTTACACAATCACATTCCTATTCTAAATATGACTGCAACAAATATTAAATCTTTAGGTTTTTTATAAAATATACTAAAGGCTATTGGGTTGATATAAATTAGTACTATGGAAATATTTTTCTCATTGACTAGAAAATTTATTCTATAGAAAAAGAGTGGCTATGGTTATTCACCATTTTTGGGCCCAGTGAGGTTATGAGGAATTTCACTATGCCCGTAATCACAGTCGAACAAACTCATCAGCTTGGAGCATCGAACTTGGAACCTCTCATCTTTTTTTGTTTATTGGGTTGATATAAACTAGTAATATGGAAATATTTTTCTCATTCACTAGAAAATTTGATCACGTTTCAAAAGAAGCATTTGAAGTTTTTGTGGAAAACATATATAAAGTACGCGTTCATGTAGCTCAGAGCATTACTTCTGATCATGTGGATCAATCAAAGGACGAGAATTTATACTATTATTATAAACATAAAATAAAGACATTCCTTTAAATATACACATTGTTTGGCAAATCAGAAGATTATTATTATTTTTTAAGTACAAAGGAGGTATGCAAATTAGAAGATTATTATATACACACATTGTTTTATTCTACATTATTATAGCAACAGATCGGAATATCAGATATTAAGAACAAAATATAATAAGTATTATTCTATACAATGAAAAGAAAAATATTCTATACCGACACTACTCCTATTTTCATTTTCTTCTTCCAATTAATTAGTTTTGATTTTGATTTCATGAGGTTATTGATTTTAGGGCTTCTAATTTAGCTTATTGCTCTTTATGACACACCCCAATCTGGAATATTCACTAAGACTCCGAATCGAGGTGTGTTGGCCAATACCTAGAAGGTAACGAAGTCATAAGGTGTAGTGATATGGTGAATAAATTTAAACCTAAAACTGCTTAAATATAAGAGTGCGTTGTGAGCAGGAATGAACTCATTTCATACGTGATGTCAGAGCATAAGTAAAGTATAGTGAGATAAAATGAGAATTATACCGTGGAAGGTAATCTCCAATACCAAGATTTGCCAAGAATCCTCGTCGATACAAAAGCCCAACTATTAAACCTGGAGGGGCGCAAAAACAAGGGTGAGTGGGCCTGAAAATAAAGTTTTAATAAAAACCTTTGAAAATGTTATAACCCCTTGCCGTAAAACATATATAGTTTCCAAAATATACATACTATGTATAGTATGAAATACCGACCATAGCCTGCAAAACGTAAATAAGGCATGATATCCCAAAATCATAAAATCTCAACAACAATATAACTAAAATCAGGTGCTCAACAACCTATGCTAGCACACCAGTCGGAGTCGCCTAATGCGACCTGTACGACTGAACCTATTGATCATCAATCTATGCTAGCACACGAGTCAGAGTCGTCTAGTGTGACTTGTACAACATGACTAGGTGTAATAATATACACTCTAGTGCTACAATCATGTGAAGACTAGCACTATTTGTTGTCACATACGAGTCGGAATTGCCTATTACAATCTGTACGGCAGGACTAGCACCTACTTGGATCCAAAGCGAGCGTGCGGTGCTGATGTGAACAACACGTGAAAGACTAGCTTGACCCTAGGTTGACCACTAACACCTGGGTGTAGCAATGATGAGCAGGCTACATGAATATAAGCATGCCATAACAATACAATGATTCTAATCAACGTCATAAACTTACCTACGCATCCCGTAGAATCATTTTGGCATTTCACAACAACGCAACATTTCTTATAACATTATTTAATCATGGCATGATATGCATAAATCAATTCAAAAACATTTGCGGAAACTATAAAGTTTACACACACACACACACACACACACATAAACACTATAAAAAGAAAAAGATCCACTCACCTGAAGTCCGAACTATAACTTCCTAGCACACATATCGAGGCATCACGAACAATTGACGCCCAGAACAATTATCAAATCACGTCTCAGAATTCTTATTGATAGAACAAGTAACTTACATAAAATACATCCCCAAGGATGTTCTAGAATGATTTGTAACCCATTGACCAAAAGTCAACCATCGGTCAAAGGTCGACAGTAAGGTCCACAACCCTATGTAACTTGATCCGGAAGATCCGCATCTCGAATTTCTGATCTGAAACTTCCAAAGATCCACATTAAGCTTCTAAAACAACATACTAAAATTTCATTACGATCCAACGGTTGAATCTCCGCCAATTGCAAATTCAAGCGGCGATCAACGTCTTATTTTACGAACTTACAAATCCAATTCGGGAAGATCCGTACACCGAATTCCTGATCCATTAGCTCCTAATATCCTTAAATGTTATGTACTATTACGTCATAAAGTTTGGTGACGATCCAATGGTCGGATCGTCAAATCACATCATAACCAAATGGCAGCCCTTGATGGAAATATAACCAAACAACAGAATTTCGAAAAATGGAGGGTGGATTCGGGTTCGGCACTTCGAGGAACCCCATCACCGCCGCACACGCCGCCACAAGGAAGCTACCCACGCATGCCCACACACAACGAGTACCACAATACTCGCCTTCTCTACGAAACCTGCGATGTTGCAAGTTTTTTGTCCTACTTGTAGAGCTCAATTCTCAACCAAATTCAGTGATTCAAAAGCGATTTTTAAGTTAGAAATGTAAAGAACAAAACCATACCAAATTTGGGCCGATTTAAGGTCGGTATTGGCTGAAAAAATGGCTTGAACGAGGCCAAATGACCACGGGTCCAAGTTTTCTAGAATCTGGGAAATTTCATCCCAACTTCCAGAGCTAATTACTAGTTCGATACCTAGCCATTTTTAGTGTTCTACCTATGTATTTAAAGTTCATAATGAGAGGAACAGGATCATACCAAAATCATAGCTCAACGGAGGTCGTAGACGGTGATGCGATAATTACTTGACACTCAAATTAAACCCTCGTTTGACAATTGTAGTAGAATGGATAAGTGAGGGATCGTTCTAGACCGGGGATTAGGAGGGCTTGCTAAAACCTTCTAAATTGACTTAAGAACGTAAAAACAATATAAAACACTAAACTAGACTCAAAGAATGCAAAACTAAAATTTAAAACATTAAGACAAACCAAAAGACTCAAAACTAATTTTGGACGAATTTAAGATTATGGCTTGATTCAAAATACTTTAAAACATAAACTAAACAGATTCTAAGCACTAAAGAACAAGAAAGTAAAAGGGGGGGGAAAAAGTTTTGATTTGACGAAAATTGAAATAACAAAACAAAGTAACAAACTAAGCGGAATGTAAATATGAATTTGTGATGGAATGAATGGAATGAAGGCTAGCTAAGGGGTTCTTCTCCACACATGTTATACTCGCATACAAGATTGATTCTCAGTTGGTCTTTCGATAAATTATGAAACTCAACACTCCGGATTAATTAGGTCCGCTTAAATTAACCGTCAAGTTTTCCTTAAGTTAATGAATTGGATGGGTTTGCG